GTGTTTATCTGTTCGAAGTAGAGAAATCCGATTTGACTTAAAAAATCGCATGGTAAGCCAAAGACAGTACGGAGGTCTAATTTCTGTCGTATAAAACTTGTATTTGTAAAAAAAATGTTTTTCTCTACGATAAGTACAAAATAATTTCTAAACTTAAGAATAAAAAACGTGCTAGCAACAGTAAGGAAAGCATGGCCGAGTGGTTACTTCGAGTTGCTTATATTAGCTGTCGTCTGAGTGGGCTCGTGTTCGAACCTCACACTGAACCATTGGCGCAATATTTCCTTACTTTTTTTTTGTTATTTGTCGAAATATTATGCGCAAACAAGCACATTTCATTATGACAATTATATAAAGAAATCGTACATGCCAAGATTTTCGTCAGTAGCTTTACTTTTCAAACCACACACGGACAAATACCTCGAAAGAAAAACTATGGTAATTAATAAAGTATCTTTTTCCTCCATCGAGTTTATGTTAGGAAGTGCGTAATTTGATCTATTTCTAATTTGAAAAGGTATAAGTTTAGCGTTGAAACTGTCAAATTTATTTTCGAAAAGTATTAAAGATCAGAGACATAGATACGAAATATTTTTACATTTGAATCTTAAATAGACAAAAGGAAATCAATTGACTTTAATCCTATAATCATTCACCCTAAGTGATTATCTTTTCGAAGTAGAGAAATCCAATTTGACTTTAAAAATCGCATGGTAAGCCAAAGACAGAACGGAGGTCTAATTTCTGTCGAATAAAACTTATATTTGTAAAAAAAATGTTTTTCTCTACGATAAGTACAAAATAGTTTCTAAACTTAAGAATAAAAAAAACGTGCTGGCAACAGTAAGGAAAGCATGGCCGAGTGGTTACTTCGAGTTGCTTATATTAGCTGTCGCCTGAGTGGGCTCGTGTTCGAACCTCACACTGAACCATTGGCGCAATATTTCCTTACTTTTTTTTGGTTATTTTTCGAAATATTATGCGCAAACAAGCACATTTCATTATGACAATTATATAAAGAAATCGTACTTGCCAAGATTTTCGTCAGTAGCTTTACTTTTCAAACCACACACGGACAAATACCTCTTTTTCCTCCATCGAGTTTATGTTAGGAAGTCCGTAATTTGATCTATTTCTAATTTGAAAAGGTATAAGTTTAGCGATGAAACTGTCAAATTTATTTTCGAAAAGTATTAAAAATCAGAGACATAGATACGAAATATTTTTACCTTTGAATCTTAAATAGACAAAAAGAAATCAGTTGACTTTAATCCTATAATCATTTACCCTAAGTGTTTATCTGTTCGAAGTAGAGAAATCCGATTTGACTTAAAAAATCGCATGGTAAGCCAAAGACAGAACGGAGGTCTAATTTCTGTCGAACGAAACTTGGACCTTTAGAAACCCGTCTATGTGGTGTCGCTTTCGAACCTCACACAGAACCATTTGCGCAATATATTCTGATTTTTTTCTTTTTTTGCATAATAGTGTGCGCATTTTATATTGACTTTTATATAAAGTTGTCATAAATGCCAAAACAGATAATCGAACGCCAATTGTAGTCAACTGGTTGACAACATATTGGAAACTATCGATTAAATTACAATTAATGAGTGCCCCATAGGTTCTAGTCTGTGTTCAGAAAAGTAGTATCTAACTATCGTTCGTTCTCTCATTTGATCTGGGAATTGCATTAAAGCAACATGTGCCATATATGTAATAAAATTGTATCATCTAAAGTTTGAGACAGCTTGGTAAAAGTAAGTATTTTCTATATAAATTTTATTTCGTTCAAGAGGACTGTTGGCGTTCGTCGGGATCTCCGTCATCCCATCCCCGAAGTGATGCCGGAAAGAAACTCTGAATGCGACTTTTGTCAAGTTGTAGCATAGGTGCATGGTTTAGGGGAAAGACTGCGATCATGGTTTGTATGAATGAACATTATGCTAAGCTACTGCTATGTAATATGCTGTTATTATGTTTTTTTTAAACGGCCAGTATTAAAGAAGGCCTACGTGCCTACTGCTGTTAAATTTATTGAATAATTTGAATAATTGGATAAATTGAATAAATAAATTTATTAATTGTAGTTTAATGTTACCAGATAAAGTATTGTAATAATGTCTACATGTATTGTTTATTCACAAAATTGCATGGAGTCATTAATAGTTAAATAAAAAATAGAATAAAGAATCGATTTCGGAAAAATATACACAATAACAATGACGTCATGGGTAATAGAGACAAAAAAACCGCCTAATTTAAGTGTCTAATTTTAGAGCTTAATGTAGATATATGCAGAACAAATACCGAAAAGTTATATATTAAGTAAGCGTTAGGATCACGATTAAGTTTGGGTTGAGTAGGTGTTGTAATAATATAAAAATTCTTTTTTCAATGACATTTTTCGTTTCAGGTTTAATTTGAGGTTAAGGTGGTGATTTTGTTTTTTTTTTAATTATATTCAACTTTTTAAACATATCTACATTCAGATTTCACA